TATACATGCTAGCTACGGCCTTGGATACAGACTTGCCGACTGGAACTTCTCCAGGTCCCCCGCTAATTATGTCCTCTCCAGTTACACATCCTTAAAAAAGGCCCTGAACCAAATGTTATACCTCATAGCAATATGTATTGTTAAGGCGGGGGTACACATGGAATCATTTGAAAAAATCGATTTTCATTTTTTGAGCTAAATAGTTACTGTGGCATGTAATTGATGTTGTGAAAGTATTTATTTGGTTGAATTTTAAAAATTGTTCTCTCAGGAGCTGTTTTTAACCACTTCACTATAATTTTCAGCTTGGTTGCCATGGTAACGAAAGGCAGAATCCTTCATATTTTCATGTTTTTACCAATATACTTCTGTCCCTCCCCTCCCTAATATAAAATAATGATGCAGGCTCATCTCTAGATGATTTTGCAGCGGATTTACGTGGTGATTATGCGGCGCATAGATGCGTTTTTTGAGAACTAGTGATTCAAGGAGAACAAACTCGAAAATGTGTTTCAATATTTAATAAATATTGATTACTTTTGTGTATATATTTCTTAACATATGGTTAAAAATAACTAATAATGGTTCACAGAAAACATTAAAATGAAACTTTATTCACTGGGGTGAAGAAATGCGCTATAAAGACGACGATAAAACGTGAACACATTCGGGCAATAATCGGGCATTATTTCAATGGGCATTCAATGCCAAATGTAGCCCGCGTGCAGGCCCAAGGGAACTGATAGTGGGCCTGCAAGCAAGGCCCGGTATTTTGTAAAACGCCCCTTTTCTAACACGCCCCATTCGCGCGTCAATTGTCAAAACAGAACCAATGACAGCACCCAAATATTAACAAACAAACTCGCATTAAAATGTTGCGGGGTTTTCTCTGCTTATTCAGAACATAAACAATGTGTAAATGGCTGCGTTTTAACTTCAAAAAAGAAAGCAACGCTGTCAGTAATTGCCAAATTTGCAAGTGCTCATTTTCAACTAAAATCGGAACAGGCAAATTAGGACGAATTTCAACAGAAAACCAGTCCCAAACTTTAAATCGTGAGGGAAGTCGTGCGACCACATTAGCATTTATGATGTTGCTTCGCTGTCGCCATTGTTATAAATAAATTGCTGTTTAGTTGCACCTGGCAAATAAAAAAAATTTAATGATCGAGACATTTCAACGCATGTGATATCAAATTCGAGAATTATAGGTCCTAAGCATTGCAGAATTCTTATTTGTGGCACCTGCCCAGGTTCTAAATCGCTTTTAAACTTTGAAATAGGATGCTATTCTACACATCCACACAATAAATTTTGCGGCACATGGTATTTCTAAGAAATCAGGAAGTTGGCAATTTTTGCATTTTTTAGCTATTTCTCCGCGTGACACAAGAACCTGAATACGTCCCTGTGCTGTTATTAGCCGCACTGTTACTGTCCAAAAATCAAGAATACATTAAAAACTTGTTCCTAAATGTCCTTTCTCTGATTCTTAAAGGTTTGTTTAAGTAATTTCAACCCTCTTTTAAGCGATTTTGGAATTTGCTAACACAACATGGACATAACATTTAATATAGCTCGCTTAATTAATAATATGCATTCGTCCCAAATTTTGTATGAAATTATATTCAAAAATCATTTTATAATATAATAGCAATTGCAATGAATCAGAATAGGCAGCTTAATACCAGCTTAGAATATCAGAAATAAAATGACTCGTATGATTTTAGAAATTAATTAATAACAAGGCGCTCGAAAGAGCGTTACTCGCTGGGGCTAGGGTGTATAAAAAAACTGAGCAGATTTGAAATTGCTCACACTTTCGAAAAACAGCTATTAGTATCCGTTTTTGATGTATATAGCTTCCTTGGGTATTTATAATGTAGAATAATGAAAAAAAATTTGTCGAACTCAAATTTTGTGAACCAGGGGGGTGTGTCTTTTCCAACAAAATAAAAATGGCTTGCGCACGAAATTTAAAAGCTTTAATCATATTTTGAGTTGATAGATGGAAAATGTGTTAGGTTTTTAATTAATGTACAAAATTCCATACGATTTGCTTTAGTTTAAGCCCTTTAACTATTCATTTTTTCCTAAAAAATCAGCCTTTCGCATGCTTAATTAATGCCTTTACCTAATTTGCATATTGCTGACATATGCAAATTAGGCAAAGGCATTAATTAAGCATGCAAATAGCTGATTTTGTAGGAAAAAATGTAAGTTTGCGTTAATAGTTTAAGCCCGCCGCACACGAGAGCAACTTGCTTCGTGAGGATTTGACTTCTCGAGGCCTTGAGGAAAATATCTATCGTGTTTGATATTTTTCTCTTCGCGAGGAAAAAATCTTAAGCCTGCAGCACACGAGAGCTATCTGCTGAGCCAAAAGTTACTCGTGCCTGTTAGCTCAGCTGATAGCTCACCGATCAAACATGTTTGATACGTGAGAAAAGGTTGCATGAGGCAAAAAACTCTGTAAAATGTACGCGCACACGGTGAGCTATCGGCTGAGCTAACAGGCACGAGTAACTTTTTGCTCAGCAGATAGCTCTCGTGTGCTGCAGGTTTTAGCGTCTGCAGATGTTGTGAGCTAAGTGCTGAGCTGTTTCAATTAGCCAATGACAAACCATGGTTTCTTCATGTGACATGGAACAAAATGGAGGAAAATGCAAATAATTTTTGTTAATTATGTTGTTGTTGAGTAGTTTTCCCAACGTGTGCGGTGAAAATACATAGCTTAGCTAACGGCCTCGCGAGGCGGTTAGCTCAGCAAGTTGCTCTTGTGTGCGGCGGGCTTAAAGGGCTTAGACTAATGCAAATTGTCTGAAATTTTGTACAGCAAATAAAACCCAACAAATGTTCCATCTATTAACTCAAAATATGATTAAAGCTTTTAAATTTTGTGCGCAAGCCAGTTTTTTGTTTGTTTGAAAAGACACACCCCCTGGTTCACAAAATTTGAGTTCGGGAAATTTTTTTCATTATTTTACATTATAAGTACCCAATTATGCGAAATTGATTAAATTATTGATAAAATTACCACATTATTGATAAAATTACCAAAGCAGTGTATTATCAAGGCGTTTGGTAGAATTGATCACAAGATTCTGATAAGGAAATTGGAACATTATAGTATCAGGGGAGTGGCCAAAGTTTGATTTTGAAAATTATTTATACAGTAGAAAACAAATGGTGAAATAAGTCGTGCAATTAATGATTAACACTACTCGTAATGTTTGAAAAATGTGCCAAATTGCACACGCCTTGGCGGCTCGTTAGTTAGTTTTAACTGATTTTTTTAATATTGCATTTGTTTATCGTATTTTTTTTGCTTTACTTTTAAGAATTCTACTTCTTCAAAAATGAATCCGTCCAAGGATCACAACAACTGGATAACCATTGGAGAAGTAATCAATCTAATTAGGAAACCTGTTGCTTTGTACACTGGCCAGGTCGTAAAAAATTGGCATGCTAAGCTGTGTTGCCTTCTAAAAGGGCGATGCGCAAATCCTATAGTGTGCGAGAAAGAAAAAGACTATAAAAAACTTTGCCACTCTTGCAACCAATGGTACCAGGAGCTGGCTAAATGGCATAGAAATAGAAATAAACGACAGATAAAATGGCGTGAAAACTGCGACACATCAAAGTGGCCTGTTGATCCATGGGAGGTAGCCAAGTTTTTTATGCCTATCCTTGGACACAACAAGGGAACCGTCAAAGACGCAGGATCCACTGATCTATCATCTCTTCTAAACGTCCTTGAGTGGATGAATGATGAAATTTTTTTTCCAGACAGACGTGTGGATCTCGATCTTATTAGAAAGCTCCGTTTAGGAATTAGAATGCCTTGGGCGCATGCACCAAATCAAGAGTTAACCGATGCTGATCTTAATAACGCTTTTGACACTGCCAATAAGATTCTTGCCGACCTTGATAGTGTTTTCAGCTGTAACGAAGTGAAGAAGTGTATAGAGGATATCAAGTTTGTACAAACTAGCGGAATAACCAATGTCGTAGAAGCCGAGTTAGATGCTCTAAATTTACTGCGCGATGAATCAATTCAAGAAGCTCAAAAGCTTAGTGCTGAAAAAGAAACTGAGCGAGGTACTTATTTCATATTCATCATTCCTATAATTATATATTTCTCGCACATTTTTAAAATACATACCAGCCATATTCAGTCCGCATACCGGGCTGTCGCGCAAATATATTTACGGATTTTGGATGCGCCGTTGAAACTCCTAAACTGGTTTATTAAGGACTTTGTCTTGTGTTGTCTCTTTTCTAGAGAGCCCAGAATCGTGGAAATGGGAAAAAAGTTCGATCGTTCATCGGGAGAAGTTCATTAAGCTTCTCGAATATGGAAAAGACCATCCGGAAGATATCAAAGAAGTTAACGGAGTACGCGTTTGCTGCTCTGAGGAATTTCTCATTGGCATGGGAGTTGATGGCACTCGAGTCTATGTAGGATTAGGGAAAGACGGATGCGAGAGGGCTGTGAAACGTTTGCCCAGAGATGCCTGCGCTGGCTTGGCTGAACAAGAAAAGAACGTTTTGAACAAACTCAACACAACCAAGTCAAACCATGTGGTTAGTTATTGGTTCTTAGACGAACAAAGCGACAAGCACTACTTATTTTTAATCTTGGATTTATGTGAGGAAACGTTGGAAAATTTTGTTGGTCGTAGCAGTTTAGAGGATCTGGTAGCAAATGCGCCAGGTATCATTCAGCAACTTTTGAAAGGATTAGCTGATCTCCATTGCGATCCAGTGCGCATTTTGCATCGGGATTTAAAACCATCAAACATTTTGCGCAATGTCCACGATAAATGGTTGCTGGCAGATTTTGGCATCAGTCGAATCCTGACAGGGTGTGCCAGTACGCATCCAAGCAACCAGAGGGGAACAGAAGATTGGAGAGCCGTTGAGTCATCATACCCTTCGAATGGCATGACTGATGGTGGCAAAGTACGCTACAAGAAAGAATCCGATATTCAGGTTACTAGTTTTAATTATAAACACGAATAAAACTTTACAGTGTGATTATAGGTTTTACATTGCTTTCAAAACAAGGTGGCGGGAATGCGTAATAAACAACATAACACCTTATTCTTAACGATGTATTTTTAAACCAGGTTGTATATATACCGTAACATGCAGGGGCCGGTTGTATAAAAAATTTATTAAAGTTAACTATAATTAGTGGAAACATCATCCAATATGAAGCGCGTATTTGAGAGTTAATCACTATTTAACTACAAAATAGTGATTAAAAAGTGATTACGAGTTTTATACAACCGGCCCCAGTAGTTTTCTCAGCCTTTGAAAATAATGCTCAAGTCAGCATTATACTATGTGCACACGGTAACGTTTCCAAGCGTTTCTAATATGTCGTTTTCAATTTTGTCAGTTTGACGTTCTGTCCACACGGAATTATCACCGTTTATTTTCCACCACGTGGAGTTATTACTTGTGAACGAATTTCTTAAAATGTCCTCTGCTCATTATAATAGAGTAAACAGTTTTACATGTATTTTCAGCATCATGCACCGATATGAAGTCTGACGTTCTTTCGAAAGCAAAACACATTTTAAATCGTTCATAAATCATCATACACTTGAAAGGCTATATATTTTGTTTTATTTATTGCATGCTAAAGTTTTTAACTTAAGAGTTAATGAGCCAATGAAAGATCTAAGGATACAAGTATATAATATTTTGATTTTAAGCCGCCATCTTGGATTTTTAGCGTTTCAAGGCGAAGACGCTTGTCCGAAAACGGTTTTTAGTATTGAAAACGTTTTCGTCATAAGACGTCGTTTTCATCCGTTTTCGTGTGGACACGGCTTGAAAACGAAACGTTTTGAAAACTTTACAGCTGAAAACGCTCAAAAACGTTACCGTGTGCACATAGTCTTATTCTTTGAAACTCGGTAACATAAGGCCGGTTTACACGACAAGCGTTTTGGGCACGGCACCCCTGAAAATGGGCACCGTGCCAAAACGACCACTTCGCTATTTACTCGTTTACACGACAACATTTTGTAAACACACTTTTATGATAGGCACCGTGCCCATCGGAAGACGGCACCTCTACTTTCCGTTTACGACGGTATATTTTAAAGAATAAATATGTCGGACAGAAATATAATTATATATTTATATTTATTGGAACGAAGAAGAGTATTATATGAGCCGAAAATCGAGGGAAAAAAACCAATTCAATACTAGAAAAGTACTTTAAGAACCAGCTCATATGGGCAAAAGTTTTCCCGGTTAGCGAGAAAACTTTTCGACAAGTTTACAAACGAGATCTAGCCTTGGTATGAAAATAATATGAAAAGTTACACTGCGTTCATATGAGACAAAACGTTTTCCAGTGTACCGAGATCTCGCTTGTTGACAAGCCAGATCTCGGTGACCGGGATAATGTTTTTCCCATATGCATGAACACAACTTTACCGCTTAGCGGGATAACTTTCTGTCGTATCAGCATCTTTTCAATTCAATTGATATTCAGTGCGTGCCCATCGGAAAACGGCACCTCTATTTTCCGTTTACGACGGTATACAGGGTGTATAAAAAAAACGCAACCTCGGAATTTCCCAAGAAATCGACATTGTTTTAAAGACAAAAGATTTTAGGCGCCTGGGAATTTAAAATAGCACAACTGTCAAAATTACTGCACGCGCGAGTGCATAAAGCAAAATTTATGCATTTATTTAATGCACAACAACAGTAATATGATCAATTAGCAATTCGATTTCAATTCCCAGGGGCCTAAAATCTTTTATGCTTAAGAATTGCAAAGTGATTTCATAGGAAATTCCGAGGTTGCGTTTTTTTTATACACCCTGTATTTTAAAGAATAAATATGCCGGTGTTCCAGGAAATTTGCCCCCCCCAAAAAAAAAATTGCCCCCCCCCTGGCGGCCATATTTCCTAGGAAATATGGCCTCCCCTTCGGAAATTTGGCCCCCTCGAAAACATAGTTTTCTTTATAGTTATAAGCTCGGAAATCGTGAAGCTTCTTTTAAAACCAAGATTCTAAAAGTGTTTGTCAGTATTTATAGTTAGTTTGCATAATTTATTTGTGTCGAAATTCTTCGTTGCGGCCAAGAGCTAAAAGTTTGAAGGAAAGCGTAATAGTAATAATGTGCTAGTGCAGTCATGCCAGACACATCACACATGGGTATCTGTAAAGGACAACGTTACTGTATGATCGCTTAGCTTTAAGCTAAGAACACGAAACGATTTTTAGAGATAGGAATTTCTAAGATATTACAAAGTTATTTAGATCTATTTATTCAGTCACATAGTATAAAATTAGTCAAAATAACGACCGCACTTTAGCAAACGATGACATCATGCGTTGGCGAATATGTTAATATGCACGCGTCTAATAAATAACAGGGAGCAATTAGCAGTAAAAGTAGAATTTTAAGTGGAAACGTTTGTTCAAAAAACAAAATTAAATGAGTGATTACTTCTTGAATTTCCTATGCATTTACACATACACAGTATATATACTCGCTCATATGTTTGGGATGCATTATAGAAGCATTCCGTAAAAACGAAAGTAGACTGCATGCTTCATGGCTCACAACTGAAACATTCCGCACACACAAAAGCACAAAGCTTTACAATTGAATGACGTTCCGTTTCCTTAGCTTAATGATACAGCCATTATTTATTAACGTTGTCTTCTACAAAGCTGGTCAAAACCAAACGCGAAAAGTACGCTAAACTTTAGCTCTTGGTCTAATTCTCGTCAGTATTGCAATTCAATGGAGAATTTTGACACAAAAATTTACACAAACTGACTATAAATGTTGAGAAAAATTTCTAGAAATTTGTTTTAGTAGAAGCCTTACGATTTCCGAGCTTAAAGATAAAACAAACTATAATTTTTTAAGGGGGGGGGGGGAAATTTCCGAAGAATCGGCCTTATAAGGCCGGTTTACACGACCAGTGTTTTGGGCACGGCTCCCCTAAAAATGGGCACCCGTGCCCAAAATTTTAGGCACGCCACCTCTGCCTTTTGGCGTGTAAACGTGACAAAAATCGGCACCGGTGCCACAAAATTTAAACGTGCCGAGACTTTCTCACGAGGTAGTCTCGGCACGTCTAGCAGGCGGTGCCGTGCCCAAATTTCGAAAAAAAAATGAAAAATGTGTTCGACATCGAGTATGCGCAAAACAAATTGTCCTCTTTCCAACATGGCAGCGACAAACGGCAACTTGACAAAAATAAAAAAACGTTAATTTAAAAAACAAATTTAAAAAACAAATTTAAATAACACAGTGTGAATGGTGCTATAGTTGGCTCGGAAATTTTGATACCACTGTTCGTCGCTAAATAGAGCAGTAACTAGGTCGTTGCAAGTGGCTGTCCTTCGATGCGTCCATGCCTCTCGAATTCGTGGCGGGTGAATACAAGATGGCACAAAATTTACGAGAAAAAACAACTCCTTTCGTCTTTAAGGGGCTGCATGTTCATATGGGCAAAAGTTATCCCGGTTAACGAGAAAACGTTTCGACTAGCCAAATAATTTTGTTCTGTTCATATGGAGAAACGTTATCCCGCTTACCGGGTATAGTTTCCGGGCTGTGACATAGCACTGAATATCAATTGAATTGAAAAGTTGCTGACACGACAGAAAGTTATCCTGCTAAGCGGGAAAGTTGTGCTCATATGGGAAAAACATCCCGGTCACCGGGATCTGGATTGTCAACAAGCGAGATCTCGGTACACGGGAAACCTTTTTGTCTTAGATGAACGCAGTGTAACTTTTCATATTATTTTCATACAAAGGCGAGATCTCGCTTGTAAACTTTTCGAAAAGTTTTCTCGCTAACCAGGATAACTTTTGCCCATATGAACTGGCCCTTAAAGTACTTTTCTAGTGTCGAATTGGTTTTTTCTCTCGATTTTCGGCTCATATAATACTCTTCTTCGTTCCAATAAATATAAATATATAATTATATTTCTGTCCGGCATATTTATTCCTTAAAATATACCGTCGTAAACGGAAAGTAGAGGTGCCGTTTTCCGATGGGCACGGCGCTTATCATAAAAGTGTGTCCACTAAAAGTTGTCGTGTAAACGAGTAAATAGGGAAGTGGGAGTTTTGGCACTGTGCCGTACTGCCGTGCCCAATACGCCTGTCGTGTAAACCGGCCTAAAGATATGATATGATATGATTGTGTCTAATCAAATTTTTTGACGAACATGAATTTTGTGTTGTTCTTTGCTCCTCGTAATTTTTGTGAAAATATTTTTCCGTACCTTTAAGGATAATAATACCAATTTGTCTCTGTCATACTTAGGTAGCCGGAATTGTGGCATTTTACATTGTGACAAAAGGTGAACATCCCTTTGGAGAAAAACCTGACCGACTTCGCCACTTGCTTGATGGTAAACCAGTTGGCTTGGATACGCTGAAAGATCCTACTTTGAAAGACTTATTATCCTGGATGCTGAGCCACAACTCCAAAGATAGACCGTCCGCTGAAGAAGCGCTGAAACACCCTTATCTTCAGCCCGCGAAACAGAAGTTCGAAATGTTGTGCAAAATGGGAAACCAGCAGGAAATCAAGATAGGAGATGTCAAATCAGATGTCGTACGAAAGTTGAACAGCGATCCCAAAGATTGGAGAACTCTGCTGGTACCCGATGTTTTAAAGTATTTATCCACTGATTCTTCCAAGGGGAAAACATTTCGTTATAAATCATCGTGGACGGACTGTTTACGATTTATCCGAAATGTCAAGGAACACTGGCATGACCGTCCAAGGCCGCGACCAGCAGTATTCTATTTAGTAGGCGATCCCCAAGAGCACTTCCTTGACCTTTTTCCCAATCTTCCTGTCGAGGTGCACAGAATAATCAGGTCATGTGATTGGAAAGAACGATCTGACCTTAAGGAGTACTTCATGTAAGATACAATACGTGGCTTGTTTGCGCCCCAAACGAATCTGAGTTTTTTCGGACGGAAAAAACACTGATTTCAAAACTGGGACTGGATAGTGCATCATAAATGAAGCCAATGGCAGTCGTGTTGATGCGCATGACCATCATAAATATACTGTGGTGCTATTGGCATGTTAAAAGAGGTTCAAACATTTTCTAGTTATTGATAGGAGAGGAGAAATGTTGTCTATACATATATGGGCAGCGGTGACCTCTCTTCTTTTTAAATTTGCTTGTGAGTAAGTTGTTTCTTTGTAAATTTATTATTATTATTATAATTCATTTATATAGCGCCATTTCCCATAGCTCAATAGCGCTTAACATCAAGTGTTAAAAATATATACTAAGTGTTAGAACATAGTGCATGCATTGACTACTAAAATTACTATACTATAAAATTACTAAAAAATAATTATATGCTCTTCTCGTTAAGAATATAAAATTACTTTATCGCCTCCCTTAAAATTAATTGTACTTTATATGACCCCCCTCCACGGTAATTTGCAGTGCTGATGAGCTCCGTTTTCTGTGATGCGAGAATAAAACACTAAACGCCCATTTGGGAAAAATAATGGCTGTGTGCGTGCGCACACGCCGGTTTATTGATAAATAATGTCCAATAAATTATATTTACATAAATGAAATAACAGATATCACAGAAAAGGTGGGGGCATTTTCCCGCCACCTTGAACATATATATGATAAGTTAGCTAGCAGTGACAGAAGCAGCAGGCGACCGAAAGAGAAATGGGAGGGAAGGGAGAGTGCAATCGAAAGGCGAAACTGACTTGAGATCTTGCTCCAATGACAGCTTCAGAGGAATGAATCACGCACAGACAACTCGCGCTTATATATGTCCCATGTATTACCATGCGATTGCTTTGTGAAGTAAAATCCCGCAATGTAACAACTTTTCCCTGTGATATTCTGTCGCGTGCGCTAGGTCACTATGTAGCTAAATGCCTATACTATATGTCTAAATAGAACGCGGGAGGCAATAAAATTACTATTCGGCGAGCAAATAGTGCCTTTATCGCCTCCCTTAAAATTAATTGTACTTTATATGACCCCCCTCCACGGTAATTTGCAGTGCTGATGAGCTCCGTTTTCTGTGATGCGAGAATAAAACACTAAACGCCCATTTGGGAAAAATAATGGCTGTGTGCGTGCGCACACGCCGGTTTATTGATAAATAATGTCCAATAAATTATATTTACATAAATGAAATAACAGAGATCACAGAAAAGGTGGGGGCATTTTCCCGCCACAAACCTCCTCGGGTAGGAGGCA